TTCACTGTAACCTCCACCTCCTGGGTTCAAGCGATTCTCCTGCCTCAGCCTCCTGAGTAGCTGGGATTACAGGCACATGCCACCATGCCTGGCTAATTTTTGTATTTTTAGTAGAGATGGTGTTTCACCATGTTGGTCAGTCTGGTCTCGAACTCCTGACCTTGTGATCTGCCCACCTTGGGCTCCCAAAGTGCTGGGATTACAGGTGTGAGCCACTGTGCCTGGCTGAAAATTGACTTTTCTTAGAAAATACAAGACTACCTTTAGGAAAGAGCGTAAATCTGAAAGGATTGTAGGATAAGCTGCAAAGGCAGATGGATGAAATAACACTTAACATGTCTAACACTGTGCCTATCTCTATGGATTTGAATAAATCACCTTTAACTAAGAAGCCGTTGAATATTAACACATAAAAATGCATAGAAATCAAGACAGTATGCGATTACCTGTTAATTAGGGGACTATATAAATGATACAGGTTGTTTGTGCTCTGGGCAGTTGGGAAAAGGTGAGGTCATTTTGTCTGAAGTTATCAGAGAGAGCTATAGAGTTTGGCTCAATAGGAGAGACTTGGGGAAATAGAAAGGGACAGGGGCACAGGCAAAAGCTTTTATTTGTTCTGAGCAAATGGCATGCTCCTCAAACTATCCTCAGATAATCTTATTCTTACAATCTTATTCTCACAATCTTATTCTCATAAATGTTAACATTTCAAAATCTGACAGCACTTTCTGCTCATTATAATCTTACCTGGACTGCTTCTGATCCTTTTAGATTAGGTTCAGTTCACCTATCTCCTGTTCACAGACTCCTCTCAGGCAGGATTGTAAAACATTTAATGTCTCAATCATACATTTGTTTTTCTAACTGAAGTCCAATCAGGCATTTTTTCTGGCAATCTCCTATCATAATAACTTTGTATGGTAGTCAGGGTTGATGATAATCATTCCATTTCATAGGCAAGAATGCTAAAATGTTAAAGAATTTTCTTAGACTTGCCTTCCAAATAGCAAGAAAATTTAAGAGTTTGGACTTATATCTAGAGTTTTTGATTCCCAGTCTCATGCTCTTTTGACAGCATTATTGACTGAGTAGTAAGAATAAGGGAAGATAAAGGAGGTAGAAATGGGCAAGTAAATATGTTTAATTATTTTTTTAAAGATGGGGGTAGGACTATGAATGTTTAAAGATACCGAGAAGAAACTTGTCCCCCTGCCTTCAGAAGACATATCTACCTCAATTATTTATTCAGCTATGGATAAAGGATGTTAACATTAGAGTGTCTTCTTTTTTTTTTTTTTTTTAAGGAAAAAAGAATGCCACATAGTAGAATTGTGACACAGATTTGGCAATCACAGTTATGGCAATGGACAGTCAAGAAAGTCACCTCATATTCACTTACAAGGCAGAATAGCATGCTCCTTATGGCTGCCTTCACAGTGCTACTAACCATGGTTGATGTAAGGCAGTTGTAGCCACATCTTATTGATAGTAGAGAACTGCTATGGGAAAGCAAGATTCTGGGATGACCAGAGGGATGGTGTGAAGTTTTCACGTAACAATATAATAGTTCAGTGTAGTCAATCTGGCTAACAATCTGATGGAACATTTCCCAATTCATTTTATTCACATGTATAAAAGGGTTCTTGTACTTTCTTGATACATACACTTTTGATGATTGAATACATTTTTCATTGCTTCAATCTGAAGTCTTCCTGTCTTATTTTTAATATTTTCTAGCTTTAGAAATCATTGTATGCTCTTTGTATGTCATGGACTTTTATACACGCTTGATTTTTTAAAAAATCTATAATTTCAATAATTCCATTGTCTCTTCTCTCTGTTTGAAAGGTGTGTGAGGAGGACTCATATATGGGTGTATAAAGGACATTGGTTCTGTGAGAGCGAACATAGTAACTCTTCATTACACGTGAAAACTTAGCTAAACTTGATCACATTTTCAGAGTGAACAGTTAAAAAAAAAAACATGCATTTTAATTTTGTTTTCTTGTACACAGAGAATTACCATTCAAACTTCAGGAACTCACATTATTGACAGCATTTTAGACTTAAAGAGAACAAGGCTGCTGGATGAGCCTGATTTTTAGGGCTTATCTCATATTCCACCTTGAATGACCTCCCACTGTCAGAAATATAATTCTGAACCCTAGAAGCAGTTGGCAACCCTCTTATTATTTTAATGTGCTTTGGATATACGTAATAAAATATCTGATTATCCTCCTTTCTTTTCCATTGAATTGACACTAATTGGCCGTTGCTGTCTAGCTACTGATTCCATGCTGGCCCTGTAACCCCTAATTCTCTTCAATATTTAGGCTCTTAGCAGAGAGAGCCATCTTACCTGATACACAGACATGGGCCCATCTCCTTGAGGACAACTGCAACTGCGTCAGAATTATATTTGTTTCATAAGGCTGCTGTAACAAAGTACCACAAACTGGGAGGTATAAACAGCAGAAATTTATTGTCTCATAGTTCTGAAGGCTATAGATATTCAAGATCACAGAGTCAGCAGGGTTGGTTCTAAGGGTTGTGAGGCAGGCTTTAATTTTTAATTTTTGTTGGTACATAGTAGTTGTATATATTTATGGGGTACATAAGGTATTTTGATACAGGCATGTAATACATAATAATCACATCAGGGTAAATGGGGTATTCATCCCCTCAAGTGTTTATCTTTTGTGTTATAAATAATCCAGTTATACACTTATAATTATTTTTAAATGGACAATTAAATTATTTTTGACTGTAGTCATCCTGTTGTGCCAGCAAATACTAGGTCTTATTCACTCTTTCTATTTTTTTGTACCCATTAAGCATCCCCACTATCTCCCCACCCCCACTACCCTTCCCAGCCTCTGGTAACCATCTTTCTACCTGTTATCTCCATGAGTTCAATTATTTTAACTTTTAGCTACCACAAATAAATGAGAACATGCAACGTTTGTCTTTCTATGCCTGGTTTATTTCCCTTAACATAGTGACCTGCAGTTTCATCCATGTTGTTGCAAATGACAGGATCTCATTCTTTTTGATGGCTAAATAGTACTCCATTGTGCATATGTACTACGTTTTCTTTAGACATTCATCTGTTGATAGACACTTAGATTGCTTCTAAATGTTGGCTATTGTGAGTAGTCCTTCAATAAATGTGGGAGTGCAGATATCTCTTTGATATACTGATTTTCTTTCTTTTGGGTACATACCTAGGAGTGAGATTGCTGGGTCTTATAGTAGTTCTATTTATAATTTTCTGTAGAACCTCCAAACTGTTCTCCATAGTGGCTGTATTAATTTATATTCCCACCAACAATGTACAAGTGTTCACTTTTCTCCACATCCTCGCCAGCATTTGTCATTGCCTGACTTTTGGATAAAAACCGTTTTAACTTGAGTGAGATGATACTTCATTGTAGTTTTAATTTGCATTTCTCTGATGAACACTGATATGGAACACATTTTCATGTACCTGTTTGCCATTTGTTTGTCTTCTTTTGACAAATGTCTATTCAAGTCTTTTGCCCCCTTTAAATCAGATTATTAGTTGTTTTTCCTATAGAGTTGTTTGAGGTCCTTATATATTCTGGCTATTAATCCCTTGTCAGATGGGTAGTTTGCAAATATTTTCTCCCATTCTGTGACTTTTCTCTTTACTTCCATTTCCCCCATTCTGTAGATTGTCTCTTCACTTTGATTGTTTCATTTGCTGTGCAGAAGCTTTTTAACTTGATGTGATCCCATTTGTCCACTTTTGCATTGGTTGCCTGTGATCATAGGGTATTACTCAAGAAATCTTTGCCCACTGCAATATCCTAGAGAGTTTCCCCAGTGTTTACTTTTAGTAGTTTAATAGTTTGAGGTCTTAGATTTAAGTCTCTACACCATTCTGGTTTGATTTTTGTATATAGCAAGA